ACCAACGAGATCAGCATTATCGACATCACCAGCGGAATCGGTAAATGAAACAAAAATATGGTTTGTCGTAGCTGGAGGCTATCTCAATTTACGCTGTGCGGATGGAGCTTTGTGTGAAGATAAAATCCGCAGTCAAAAAATGTAACCTTAATCTTCTTTTAACCTGGAAAATCACCGCACCTTAAGAACAATCTAGTTCGATCGGGTTTTCACAACCTGTATGCTCACCTGTTAAGCGAATTTGTAATGTACGCTTGGTAGATTTGAAAGATAAATATTTGACGTCTCTTGTAATATATTGTGTAACGTGTTTGACGTGTGAGAGCAGGGATTTAAGTGTGTCGTATGTTGGCGAATCAAAAGCATCCAGCCAGCTACTCTTTAATGAACACTCAGACTCTCATAGGTGATCATTTCCTTTTGGCACACACAAAGTAGGATGTTACCGCAAAACAGGTGAACCGGTCCACATACAAAGCCGAAGTCCTTGGTATAGATAAATGTTTAATCCTCAAGGATCGTATTGTACTTCTCTGTTGATCTGCAGTGATTTCTTGTCATTTGTGGAATCAAAGCGTGGACAATGGATATGATTTCATCACTTCTGGTCTGAGAAATGAGCGTTGCATACGCGATGCTAATACTTGCTGGCATCTGGTGACCGTTTTACACTTGCGAATTTGGGATCCGTAATCAAGGTTCATGACCGAGCGTGCATTCAAAATACTTCGTAGTAAACGACTTCAACGTGTACTTTTATTGCAAGACAATTGCAAATCAACTAAATGCCTGGCACACCTTACACTGCAGAAACACTGAACCATGTAAGAGATTGGAGGCATGGCTTTTTAAGTTTATCTCAATGTTAACCTTTTTCCAATTCACCCGCAGCATTTGATTGTTATCCCCTGTTACTTCTATCTCCTCGCATTTTATCTTCGACTTTTTCCATTTGAATCCCTTGTCAGGACACACTACGCTCTGCCAACTCAATCGCGGTGACGGCAATGCCGATAATTAACGTCCAGACCCATTGAAAGACGCATTTTATGATGGAATCGAATTTTATTTTGGCGAGTAAACACTAATTGTTGCAGACGACGTGTCCGGGAAAGCCATCCAGTACGACTTCTTGCCATTACCCGCCAGGAGCACCCGCACGGCGTCAGTGAGATGGCACGTGGCCCCAATACCGTCGGGCTACGCCCGAGGGCCGCAAGGCCGGGCGGGAAAGTCGAGAGCCCGCTGGCGGGTCGGGCCGGAACGGAGCCGGTGCCAGCGAGGGCAGGCACGTGTCCACCATCGGCACAACACGCGTGACCCATCACCTGGCAGCAGCGACGTCTGAACGACAGGCGTCGCATGCGACGACACGCAGCCGAAGCGGCAGGAGTCCAAGAGGCGCCCGAGGCCAGGCGCAGCGCCAGCGCTCGGCGTTTTCACCAGCGACGTTTCTTCTGGGACGGACGTTGCAGGAGGCCTTCGGTGGTCGTGGTGACACCCTTAGCGCGACTGGGGGAGAGGGAGGGGTAGGGGAGGCCTGCTGAGCGCCGGGCGTCACGTGGTTCTGCCCGTAAACCGCGCAGGCGGGAGGTCCAGCTGTAATTTGCAGCAGGAAGCTGTTTGTGCCAAGAGCCACACATGAGGCATGAGGCGGCAACATCGATGAGTAAGACTGCCACGTGCGTAGCTACCCAAGTGGGTACAGCGTTTGAAGCCCTGGCGGCAATATTTGACGGGACGAAGGCTTGCGATTTTTACCGTTGCGGTTCTTGCGAGACCGTAAGTGAGAACAACGCTCGTTACGACAGCCCGGCTGTAAGTGCAAGCTGTGTGCATTTCGCATCGCAGCAGCCGCCACGGGGACACCGACACGGAGGCTGCCTTACGCTGGCGCGCGGGTCACTTGCGCTGTCACTGGTCCTCCAGGCTTGCGGGCTGCAGCGTATGAGGCAGCGTGTTGAAGTCTGCTTCTCTTGCTAACAAAACCCTCAAGTCTGTGTTAATTGATGAGACGCTTGCCAGGAAAAGTATGAGCGGTTCAGGCCTACTCTCTGTCCGCTGAAACCGGGCGTCACATGTTACTTTCCCAGACCACCGGAAGTCCTGGTCCCTGTTCCGGTAATGCTGGTGGCCTCAGACACCCACTCCAGCAGCGGCGATAGGGCGCAATCGTTGTCACGATAACACGATAAGTCCTAGAACCTCGTCCAATTAATATCAAACATTTCAGATTCCTGTCCTGTCAACACTGAGAGCTCCAGATCCCTGTGCTGGTTGCACGAAATGTCCCAGACATGGACACGCGCAGGATTTTACAATGAAGGGGTGTGGGGGGAGGCACAATAACTACAAACTTCACTTGAAACTAAGCGCACTGCAGACATATGCAATTTCTAGTGTATTGTAAAACAGCATCATGTGTTTCTCAAACCTCTTATTTTTAAGCGCCTGCCTCAAACTTTTTTCTGCCAACATTAAGTCGCGTAGATAATGATGCATGCCATACATTTGGTAACGGGAAGAGGATCACGTGCCCCCGAAGGCTACTACGTACGTGAGCCTTTGATCCTAGATCCCTGTCCCAACATACACCGGAATCCGTAGATCCTTGTCCACGTAACATCAGAAATACAAAATCTCTGACTTATGAATGCTGTAAGTCCCACATCCTTGGGATCAGTAACCGTATAAGCAACAGATGTCTGTCCTGGTCTTCTTGAAAACCCAGATTCCGGGCCCAGCAGCGCTGGAAGTCCTGGATCCCTGTCCCCAAAAACGCTGGATATCCCAAATCCCCGATTCGGTAACACGGCGCTCGCCAGATCCTCTTCCCGGCAGTACCGTGTCCCGCTCTCCGCAACCCGGTCCCGGTACTCCCTGTTCCGGCGGCGTCCTTCCCGGCTCCCACTATGGGGGAGGGAAGGGGGGGGGGGGCTGCGGCTCCAGTTCCCGCTGCGAGAGCTCCGGCTCCGGCTCCGCCACACTCCCGGGTCGCAGCGTGGCCATTGTTACGACACGGCGGCAACAATGGCCTTCCGCAGTCGCACCGGAACAGGCCCGTCCCCAGCCGGAGCGACGCGGCAACCGTCCCCAGCCACGGCGGGTTGGGGTCACGTCATAAATCACTGGCTACAGGCGGCGTGTCACTACGTTTGCTTGAGATGGTCCCGGTACCTGGATGCCAAGATAGTCAGGTTTTAAGGCAATGTCGATGCATGGATAGAATTACCGCAGAAAATCTGGGATGACTGCCATTTGCACGACGATTTTTGAAACTGACCCCTAGTGGCACACTATCTATTTATCCGTTGATTCAGTCTTCAATGGCGTTGTTTCCAATTCTCTTCTCAGCGAATCAAACGGCGAATGTTGGACAGAAGTTTGTGAAGATGACGCTAGAACGGTGGGACAAATCGAGCTACTACACTCATTGGGCTCAACGGAAGCTATTATTTTGCAAGTGTATTACTGGGCCCCTGTCTTCGCCCTGTCGTGACAGTTGTTTGTGTACCCGTCAGGCCGAGTGGATCCCTCCCCCTGCTTTACTGCCCCAACGGCTGGACGCTGGGGCGGCACGTCATCACGAGGTCACCTTCCTCGCCAGCGGCCTCCGGAAGTGAGGCGCACCGGCAGCGCCGTGCGTCCGCAATGTCGTCACCATCTGAATAACTTATCGCCCCCCTCGGCAGTGACAATAACGACAATGCACCGGCCGTGGGGAGGCGGCGGTCGCCCGACGCCGGTTTCACTGGCGCTCTAATGGCGGGGGTGATGCAAACCGCGCCACTGACGAAGACACGGGCGGCAGGCGCCTCCAGATGAAGAGCAGCGCCCGACCAAGACGCGGAAATTGTGCCGCGGGTCTTCTTCCCCGCTTTTTTGTTGCGCCTGGTGAAGAAAGCCGATTGATGGGTGAATTCCGTCGCCGCGAAATGCAACAGGTGTTCGGAACGGGAGACGCTTGTCCTGCGTCAATGACCTCTAACCTGCGCGTAGTGTTGGGGTTCGCTCATGACGGTGTCCTTTGTGACGCCGGGGTCTGACCGCAGCAACAGTCAGGATCATACATTTCTACCCGAAGACGGCATGCGACGGCTTGCCACGCCGTCACGGCTGACGTCACGTATGACGTCATCACTGGTACTTGCCTGCACGAAGCCGCAGGCTGAATGCCAGTAAATGTTTGCCGTTGACACCTGGCCAACAGCTTTCACCCATGGCTAGAAAGGCCCATCTCACATCGTGCTTCTGAACGCTAACGCTAGTGACAATGTCACATCTTCTGCACAGAGGTGGCAGGCTTCAACACGCGTCCACAAATCCGACTCAAGGCGTTTTTCGTGGTAAAAATGGTGTGCCTCTCGAAAACTCGTAGACCTTTGATATGTCAACCACTGAGAATGCCTTGTGGTATACACAGGTAACTCATGACTACCACATGGCAACTCGATGTCGATTTGCGGGTAAATTAATTTCCACGACGCGAGAACGTGAGAACACGTCTTGCAAACATTCAGGGACAAGTTTGGCAAAATGTGCTACGATATACAAAAGAGCTCGTGATATCAGTATGCCTGTGCTTGCCAGCGGTATTGCCTGCTAGTCAATTCGGCTGTCCGCCCTCCGGCCATCCGGGCAGAAGCATGCCGATGGGCTCCGCAGTAAAGCCACAAACCTCGGTCTCAGTCGCCGTCAAGCCAGCGGGGGGAATACGCCGTCCGCATGTTGAGAGGCCCGCTCGTCAGGTGACTATAGTCCGGGAGGTGTCGTCCATTAAGAGCGTGCAGAGTTCTCAGCCTGACCACCGAGCTTCCTCTTCAGTTAAAGCTACTTCATCAACGTCATCATACATAATTACTACTCAAGTCAAGTCCTAGATGCTTGAGAACTGGTTCAATTCTCTGACCCCGAAAGCTGAAAGGCTGGATCCGCCTTTGAACGACGCCGGCTAGAATGACAGATACTTCGTGGTCGGCACACGGCACCAAAACATGGAAGATAGAATATCGGTGATATTTCCAAAAGCTCAACTTACATGTTATACAGCACATCCGTACGTTTCAAAAGGCTAGAGAATTCACGAACCATGCATTCTAATTTGTACTGTAACGCACGTTCGCACAATGCAAAGTATGCTTCTTTGTACCGAGAGATATTGGTAGAAAACAGTAGAAGTGCGTCACGTTCACCGAGTGGTCTCCCTGCCGAAACCTGTCTTTTAAAGCTGACTGCTCTGATGAAACGTAGTGAATCAGTCTATCGATCAGCGATACGTCACAATAATTTAGCTCGCTTCAAGCTCTGCACAAGAGGCATCATGTTGGTCAGAAACAGACTACAAACATAAGATGAGCGCAAAAACAACCTGAAACTGAATATAACAATAAACATAACCTGACCTTTCCACAATTCTAAACGTAGCCTACATGACCAAACAACATGGCGTGCCTATGAAAAACGCATGGAGTTTCAAAAAGAGCACTCCAAACGCTGGTGGAGCTACGGTCAAGTTCACAAAACATGCATCACAAATACAACCACCATTCATGTTCGGGGCTCCCTGGAGACACCTCGAAGCCACTGCAGCCTTATGTGGAGCTGAGGTGTCCAGCACAAGCTCGCAGCCGACGCGGTTCTCAGACCCGACGTCAGCGTTGTCGCCTTAACCAACAGCACATATCGGCATGGCATGCAGAGGCATGACATGGCATGCAGAGGGAATCTGAGCGCAGCTCATTCAGACGCACACCAGCCAGACTCTGCGGCTGGCCATCGGCCAGCGACCCCTTGGAGGTCCTTGCCCTCATGTTTGACCCTTGCTCAGAGCGTTTATAACCACTAGGGCAAATCGCGTCCTATGTTCCGAGAGGAGGGTTGGATGCCGCTTCGGCAGGCGGTGAGCTGTTCGTGCCGGTGGGGAGTGAGCGCTTCGCGTCGAGCTGAAGCGAGTTGTCTTCGTCCCGCGCGGCGGGCAGCCGGTGTTCCCTGCTGGCGCCCAGGTATCGCGAGCTGTTCGTGTGTGGCTGGAGCGGGCTCTCCAGGTCGGCGTGGGATGGGCTGGCGGAGTCGGTCGGCTCGCAGTAGAAGAGCCGGCAGCTCCGTTTCCTGGCTGCGGTGAGCGCCTGCTGCATCCACGGGTTCTCCGCCACGTCCGGGGAGAGCCTGATGCGGGAGAAGATGGTGACAGGTCAAAGGTTACTTGGCCCACCTGACGGGTCATAGATAACATGCGTAAGTCCAAAGATACTCAACAGAACTTATTCTCTGCATGAGTCACGAGATAATGAGGACTGCTCGTTTGAAAAATCTTGTCAGAAAATAACGAACAGCCCAGAGCAGACATGGGAGCGCTTTTGACCTATTGCCATGACTAGTCATAAGCAGCATAGACTCGTCACTGCGGCAGACTTCCTTCGGTTCCAGGTTGGTGACTCACATGGCGTAGTAGAGCAGGAAGCTGTCGCGGAACGGCGACGCCTCCACCTGGCGCAGCGCGTCGCACAGCTCCTTCTGCAGGCACTCGGACGTGTCGAGCGCGCCCAGCTCCGGCGAAAAGGCGCGCAGCCGACGGCGCACGCTCTCCGGCAGCACAGCACCGGCCGACGGCACGGCGTCGAACAGCGACGAGCTACCGGCCGCCGCCGCCGGCGGCAGCGCGCGCCGCCGGCGGCCGAGGCCGATGGGCGCCGCGGCGCCGACGGCGGCGGCCGGCAACAGCGCCAGCGCGCCGATCAGCAGCGCGCCCTTGTAGAACAGCTTGACGTAGTCGCCCTGGAACTTGTCGTAGAGCACCTCGCGCACCAGCGTGTCGCGCACGACGCCGGTGGCCGGCGGCGCGCGCGCGGGCGGGCTGCGCTGCGGCGCGCCGTAGCTCGTCGCCGGAGGGTCGCGCGCGACGCCGTAGCTCAACGCCGGAGGGTCGCGCGCGACGCCGTAGCTCACCGGCGCCGCCGCCTGCGGCACGCTGGCCCAGATGATGGGATTGGCTGGCCGTCTCGCGCGGAGTGGCGGGCTTCGCAGCCTCTGCCCCGGGTAGGAGACCTGGCGCACCAGCGTGTCCTTCACAAGGCGGCCCTTGGGCGGGCGGCGGTGCTTGTGGTGCTTCTTCCGCGGCGGGCCCAGCAGCACCACCGGCACCGCCTGCACCGGCACCGCCTGCACCGGCGGCGCCTGCACCACCGGCGCGGCTGTGACCGGGTCACGTGCCGGTGCCCCGTACATCGGCGACGGCGGGTCCCTCGGTGGCGCGCCGTAGGTGGTGGGTGGAGGAGCTGGAGGGTCCCGCGCCGGTGCCCCGTACATCGGCGACGGCGGGTCCCTCGGTGGCGCGCCGTAGGTGGTCGGTGAAGCGACCGGAGGGTCCCTCGCTTGACCGTACGTGCTGGTGGGAGCACGCAGGGGCACAGCAGCAGCACGTGCCCCCGACCGACTGGCTGAGGTGTCCGACGGCGGAAAGGTGCGGGTCTGACCCTCGTAGAACGTGTAGGTGTCGCCACCGTCGGCGGCGGCGGTTGTGGTGGCGCTGCGTCCGGCATCGTTCATAGGGCGCCAGCTGGTCTGATCTGCGCTCCTGCCGCCACCGTAGGACGAAGGAGGGTCTCGGGCTGGGGCGTAAGAGGACGGAGGATCTCGAGCTGGTGGTGAGTAGGAAGACGGAGGGTCTCGAGCTGGGGCGTAAGAGGACGGAGGATCTCGAGCTGGTGGTGAGTAGGAAGACGGAGGGTCCCTAGCCGGTGGTGAGTAGGAGGACGGTGGGTCCCTAGCCGGTGGTGAGTAGGAGGACGGTGGATCCCTAGCTGGTGGTGAGTAGGAGGACGGTGGATCCCTAGCTGGTGGTGAGTAGGATGACGGTGGATCCCTAGCTGGTGGTGAGTAGGATGACGGTGGGTCCCTAGCCGGCGGTGAGTAGGAGGACGGTGGGTCTCGAGAGGGTCCGTACGAGGAGGGCGGTGCCGGCGGATCCCTCGGGGCATCGTTCTGATTGGACCGCGCGGCAAAGCCCGTCCTGGGTGGAGGTACAGGCGCAGACGGAGCGGCCTGCGCCGCCGCCCCGCCGGCGATGATGGTGATGCTGCTGCCCGCTCCTGACACGCCTTCGTCCCTGCTCGAGCGGCCTCCCGCGTCTAATCGGATGCTGGTACCCGAGTCGCCGCCCAGCTGGATCGAGGCGCCGCCCAGCGAGATGACAAGCCCCTTGCTCGAGTCGCTTCCGCGGCTGCTGTCACGCTGCACGCCGAGGGCGCCTCCGCCCACGGGTGTGACGTACGCCAGCTGCGGGGTGAGCAGCGGGTTCCGCGCAGGGGTGCTGTACGAGTGGGGCACGGCGGCGACGGGGTTCTGGACGACGAAGGATGGCGCTGGACTGGGGACGGACAGGCTCGGCTGCTGAACGACGCTGTAGGTGGCCGCCGGCTGCTGCAGTGTTGGCGCCGCCACGGCCAGCACGGGGGACTGTCTCGCAGGCGAGCCGTAGCTCTGCACGGGCGCGGCGCCCGCCGGGGTGAGAACTGTACCCGGCTGCTGCGCCGAGTACAAGATGGGTGCAGCCTGGGGTGAGCTGTAGCTCTGGACTGGTGCAGGTGCCGCCTGGGGTAAGCTGTAGCTCTGGACTGGTGCAGGTGCCGCCTGGGGTAAGCTGTAGCTCTGGACTGGTGCAGGAGCCGCCTGGGGCAAGCTGTAGCTCTGGACTGGTGATGGAGCCGCCTGGGGTAAGCTGTAGCTCTGGACTGGTACAGGAGCCGCCTGGGGGATGTTATAGCTCTGTGCGGGGATAGGAGCTGCGCCAGGCGCTTGCACTGTGTACGTGGTGAACGTGGTTAGCGGTGCGACGTAGCTCTGTACTGGGCTGGGCGCGGGGCTGGGTGGCTGGACCGAGAACGCAGCAGGAGTCGCCTGCTGTGGAAGACCGTAGGTCTCCGGTAGCGGCCGCGGGTCTGCCGCAGCTCCTGGACTCTTGAAGGCGCTGGCGGGAGCTGCCGGGGAGCCGCGCTGATCGGCGGGGCGCTGCCGAGGCAGCTCGGCCGGCGCTGGCGCCGAGGTAGCGCCGGATCAGGCCCGCCAGCGCTGCGTCCGAGCTCTGCCCGTAGGCGGCGTCTGCGGCGCCGAACGGCACGCTGGGCGGACCGTACTGCTCGTCCAGCTGCAGGGGGGAGAACGTCACCGGGAAGTCGGCAACTGGCGCCCCGGTCCGGCATGGCGTCGAAACAGCGACGGCTTAGCGGACCGCGCCGGGGCCGGCGTCGGGACGGAGGTCACATCCACCAGGCGCGGGCTTGAGAGGGACTCGGAGAAGACGCCCGGCTCTGCCATCTGACTGATGAGCGACGAGTGCGTGTCTCTCGCCGCACGCGACTGCGCGCCGCCTGGTGCCGCGCTGGTGCTATCGTCTCGCTGGCTGTCTGCGGCGGCATCTAGTGCCAGTTTGTCGAACGATTGGTTGAGGTCCGTGGCCTCCAGGCTCAAAATCAAGCAGAATGCGCCCAGCGCTCCGGTAAGGGCTGGAAAGGGCGAACGAAACTGCGATTATCATAGCACAGCGCTCTTCCAAACTTACGGTTCTCCACCGGACAGACATAACAGGTATCACGATTTTTATTTCTGCTACCATGGCTACCGGGGCGGGGTGCCCTGGAAAATACGACACATTGAGGGATGCACTACATTTCGGTCTCTTCACTGACGCGGTAGGCATTCCGAACTGGGCAATTGGCCTCAGATCGACACAGTGTCCTCATTGCGCAAAAGGATTTTAGAGTAGAGTTCGGCACTGGGACCCCTGACTCACTGATTGCTTTGGTTGCCATAGAATTGGCCAACATAACCGGCCGACACAGGTAGATATAGAGGCCCGCATTGTCTCATGGGCCCCCTTTGGTGCAAAAGGCTGTCTGACTAGCACTTAAGCGCTCGGACATATGGAACGGGGTCCCTATGCAGCCAAAAGCCAGTCCTTCGGGCACTCCGGGCCCTCCGACCGGGCCCTTGCTCGCCAATCCCACAGGCCCCTTGGGATTTAACAGGTGCACGCTCCCTGTGCCCCCCCCTCCCCCCCGCCCCTGCGTGTAACCCTGCTCGGGAAGAAAAGCGACCACGCTATGCGCTCCGATGCACCAGAGGCTGGTATTTGGTAGCTTAAGAGCCTGACACTTACCGGCATGGTACTTTCTCCGAGTCCATGTATATTAATGCCATGCGCTAAACGCTTTCGACCAAGGTCTTAAAACTATATTTCGGCAAACGTAAACAAACGCAAGTGCGCACCTTACTCAGGGGCGTTAAATTAGGCCACATGAAGTAGGCATGTTTACTACGGTGACCTTTGCGACACATTGCATTTATTTGATGATTAGACAGAAGACCCGGTTATACCTCAAAGCATAAGTTCCTGAAACTTACTGAGCTCTTATGACAGAACACGGTGTAGTATGTTCGGTGCCCGGGCCTGTGTCCGGTCTGACAGGACATTGGGTGAAAAGTATGCTGATAGGAACGATAAAACGCCATCCAGAAGCAATTGCCTCTGGGCCCGCGCAAGAACACATACGCCGATTACGTCTAAACATTCGGAAACCCAGCGAGATATTGCTTCATTCACCGAGTTGCCTGTCCAGCTTTCCTTGCTAACGCCGCAGGGTCGACTGCCATGTATCGGCGAGAAGACCGCTTCCCTCTTTTGGAGCTCCAAGAAGAAAAGAAAGGTGATGCTGCCGCAGATCCAATGTGGTATGGTGATTGATGACACACCGTCGTGATCCTTCTGAGATGAGAGATGTGGCTGCTGACATCGCCTGACGTTATAAACCATGGCTTACCAATCAACCAGTGAGCCATGAGCTGACAGGTATAGCTGTATACGTCATGAATGAGGTAGTGTACGAGAAACCATGATTTACGGCTAAAGAGAGAGAGAGAGAGAGAAGAGAGAGAGAGAGAGATAGAGAGAGAGAGAGAGAGGAGAGAGAGGAGAGAGAGAGAGAGAGAGAGAGAGAGAGAGAGAGAGAGAAGGAGAGAGAGAGAGGAGAAGAGAGCGAGAGAGAGAAGAGAGAGAGGAGAAGAAGAGAGAGAGAGAGAGAGAGAGAGAGAGGAGAGAGAGAGAGAGAGAGAGAGAGGAGAGAGAGAGAGAGAGAGAAGAGAGAGAGAGAGAGAGAGAGAGGAGAGAGAGAGAGAGAGAGAGAGAGAGGAGAGAGAGAGAGAGAGAGATAGAGAAGAGAGAGGAGAGAGGAGAGAAGAGAGAGAGAGAGAGAGGAGAGAGAGGATAGATAGAGAGAGAAGAGAGAGAGAGAGAGAGGAGAGGAGATAGAGAGAGAGAGGAGAGAAAACACAGAGAGTAGAGAAGAGAGAGAGAGAGAGAGAGAGAGATATATATATATATATATATAAGAGATAATATATATATAACATGTATATATAATATAATAATATATATAGATATATATATATATAATCTATATAATATATATATATATATAAATATATCATATATACATTTGTTCACCAAAGTGAAGGATCCCACCTATACAGAGCGTGTTAAGGCACAAGCGATATGCCGAAAATTCAGACCATGACTTGCTATGTTGTCCGAATACATTTGTTTTGTCCAATCATTTTCCATGAACCATCAGCCGTCTTTTTATGATGATGTCCACAATACAGTCAAAATACGCCGTGGGGGAACGCGTGGCTCATTTTCACTGTTGATTGTGTGGGAGGCGAATCAATACTGGATTGACCCTCAGGTAGAAATGAAACAAAACAAGGTGAAAAACGACACGGGCCCTGAGATCCTAAGACACCCTGAGGCTTGGTGACTTTTCCTGAACCCAAACTGACTCCAAACACTGTGAGCATTGGAATCATTAAACCAAAAATGGCTGTAATGCCCCGTTAAACAGACCTGAGTTTCTACCTCACATTTCAAAAGTTTTTTTCTGGTACATTTTTGTTTCAAATAAATGGCTGCATTTTTAGCTGTTCTTAGCAAAATAAGCAAAACAAGATGGGGTGGGAGATTTACGTCCCCTAAATTCAAAGGCATCCCCGTGTCTGCCATTGGCACAAGGGTCGCTCGCATTCGTGGTCTAACTCTTCACATTGGTTGTTAAATCGATGTTTGATGTAGCATATCGGTTAGGTCCGCTAAACATGCAATGAACAAAATTTTTTTATAGTGCACATTCTTCTCCTGAATGCACCACTGAGGGTATTTTCGAAGCGCTTTCCTGTCACAGAGTGCGAGCTGTGACCGTCAGTTCACCCCTAGGGTTACATAATCCGATTTAGAGATCTTAGGGGGAGAAAATTAACGACCGTACATTATTCAAGCGAAATTTATCACACGAAAATAAGGTTAGAAGAAATAGATGAGATTAGCATGAATCTATCAGTTGAATTTATGTCACTGTGATATGTCTTTAAAGAGCGCTACAAGTCTTGAAGGCAATAGCACCAGTGATATACTGAATACCGTGCTTGCTTTCCGTGTAATGCTGTACACGTGGGTAAACATGCTTTTCCAATGTCCTGGTTTGCTTTGTTTCGGGGTCTCTTTGGAAGCAAATTATTTCTTCCAGTGCTAATCTGAATTTAGTGTGAACTTGGGGTCAAAATATTTGTCAAAATGACAGATAATGCGTTTGTCGGCTTCTGGTCAGAACATGAAATCGCAACTGTAACATACACCTCTGCTCTGCGGTTGGTTCTGTCCTGGTAAGAACCGTGCAGCACCCATTATACCGTCCCGCCGCACTTCAAATACATCAATAGACAAAAACATACCTGATTATCTCGAAAGAGCATTACGGTATTATCACGACAGATCTTATCGCTCAACTGTCCAAAGTGGTCCATCACCAGACTGCCGCAGCCCTTTACAGCCTTTAGCCTTAAGCCTTCACAGCCACTAACCGCTTATCACTTACAATTGGCTTCTGTAACGGAAATGCCTTCGGCGTTTGTGTAACCATTTTTGCACAAATGCCTAGAAGCCTAGAAGGCAGCAGGAATCATGACTCACTTATTTCAGCTCCATTACCGGATCTTAATACCACATTGAATGTAAATTGGGCATCAGTCGAGGAAAATTGTGACATTCGTCCAATGCGCGGCATCATCGACGACCCGCTAGCAAACAAGCAGATCCCGGCGTTGCGTGGCTGAAGGGCATCCCCTCATTTCGGGTCAGACTGATCGGCTGATTGATGCCGGGAATATTCACTAAGAGGGCGCGCGCTCTCAATTAATGTGTGGTGGGAAACTGCAAACCACGCCAGCCACGGTCCGGACAAATACATGAATTTCTCTCATCCACGAAGTGAGCGATGAAGCAGCGCCAGGTCACCAGCCGGCCAGCGCCAGGTCACCGGCCGGCCAGCACCAGGCCACCAGCCGGCCAGCGCCAGTCACCTGCCGGCCAACGCCAGGTCACCAGCCGGCCAGCGCAGGGGTCACCCAGCCGGCCAGCACCAGGCCACCAGCCCGGCCAGCGCCAGGTCACCTGCCGACCAGCACCAGGTCACCAGCCGGCCAGCACTAGCGCTAGATCACCGGCCGTTCATCAAGCAAACAACTTACTCAGTTGAGACGAACAACCGGAAAATCACCAACAGGCTGAGGGCTTGAATGTAATCTTCCACTTACCTTACGGCTATGGGTCGGCGATGACAATGCACTTTTTTGTTCACCGACGCGCATTCTTGTGCGGCCAAATCTCCGCCCCCTCGGGCTGTGCGCAGGGTCACCTACCGTTCATTGTCGCGGAGTCTGAGAACGCACGCTGCGCGGCCGTCAGGACCGCGCCACTGCACGTCTGCCGGCGCACGTGCGTCACGATCGTCTCACGGCGGCGCCCCTTCTGACGGCAGACGGTGCGCAGGGGCGGCGCCGGCCGGCCTGACCCGAATCTGTCAGCAGGCATCCGTCAGGGGCGCCGGCACGTGATCATATCTTCGGCGCTTTTCCTCTCGGACCGGGGATGGACAGGGGACGGGACCGGCAGCCAGGGATGAGCCGAGTGTTGTGCGGTGGGGGCTCAGTCGCTATCAAGAGAAAGTGTTTTTCACTTGACGTGGTCGGAGGATTTCAAGTGGATCAAAATGCCACGTTTTCGGTGAGGTAAGATGCTCCGTCGGTGACACGCAGACGCACTCAATACATATTGCGACGTAAAATGGTGCGTTTATAGCTAAACTATTCGGCCACATGTCAGATTTGAGTAACGTTTCTGGTCCACGCAATCATTTCTGAGAGCTCTCGACCGTTTGTGTCAGTACAATCATCATCAACCATCAGTCACGGAACCAGAAAGATAATCCCGGATGCGTTACAGATATTCCTCTTTCTCTTGAGGGAATGTTTCACGTTTGAACGTAGTAAGGCAAGCATCAACTGTGATGAAAAAGATACTGTCAGCCAAAGTTGAAATGGTATATATATATATATATATATATATATATATATATACGTACACATAATAACAAATATATACATAATGTATGTATATATTTGTATGCATGTTTGTATGCGTGTGTGTGCATGTGGGTACAACTCGTCAGCAAACCCTTTGCGGACTAGATTTGCTCCAATAACAGCCACAAATCTAACCCTTGATAGCGAAGCTCCGCCAATGTAAAACTGCCGACGCAGGCGGTCAACGAAGGTGGTGCATGGTAGGTCCTGTAGCTACGTGGGATGAGGTGTTTGAAGGGGATTTGAGAGGCAAATTTGCGTTCAATATGCATGGTTTTAGTGCATGACTACTCAGCTGCCTGATCGGATCGGCTCATCCGTTATGCTCAGCTCAGATCAGTTCGATATGTATTGCTTAATGCTTTATCCGAGTCAATGGGTTACAACTAAAACGATGAAAACAAAAATGCAGGAATGATGACAACACGTCAGGAACTTGAAGAAGGCCTTCAAAGTCAAGCAAATCCCTCTTTTCACATTGGTCAATTTTAAATATGAGCGCAGCACGGCTCTGGGAGGTCATAACGTCCGGCGGCAGCTGGTTCCAGGACGAGGCCGCATGATTTAAAAACTCCTTACGCGACATAAATAGCCGGAATCCGGGCAGCTCGAAAGCGCCAGCTACCGTCGACCCCGTGATGCGCTCACTCACAGCGATTCGAGGGGTGAACAGCGGCCGGACCGTCATCGGAGCACGGAGGTCTTTTAGGGCCCTGCAAACGCCGATGTGGTTGCGGCGCGTAACAAGGTCACTGGTTCCGCGCCAGCCCAGCGACCTTACGACCGGTGAAACACGATCTCGACCCCGCGCCCCCGAGACGATCCTGGCCGCAAAACTGGCGACTCTTTGCACCCGGCCGAGATAGCAGGCGGCAGGCCCGCCCCAGCCTTAGAGCAGTACAGAAAATGAAGGAAAACGTGGCCTGAATAAGGAGTTCGCGGGCTGCGAGTGTCCGGTGGTGACAAATTTCGCAGACATAAAACATGATGGAGTTGCACCTTTCGGCCAGTTTGGATGTGTTCCTACCAGGACAGAGCGCGATCAAAGGCCACTCACAGCATCTTCGCGGACGGTGATGGAGGTGAAATGACGTTGGAGATGTTATGATGGAAGGATGCGGTCTCTGATGACCTGGGGCGTGTCGGCTAGAAGAAATACGGTCTTGGTAGGGTTTATCTTCAGGGAATTGACGGTTAAGTGGGACTGAGGGCGATGATGGCTTCCCCCTGTCGCAATTTTTGGATGGACAGGTGGTCGGGTTGGGCGGAGTCGGAGAGTTGGGTATCTTCGGCGTAGGAAACCAGACGCCCGTGGGGCAGGTAGAATGGGAGGTCATTCGTCAAGATGCTGGGGATGATTGGGCGCACAAGTGACCCCTGAGGGACGCCGTGGGAGGAGTGACGGGATAGTGAACCACCTCTCACCACCCGTCATTGTCCATTAAAATAACTCAAAACAACTTTTAAACCATTGAGGATTTGTGCTGTACGACCGTAGCTTGGTCAGGAGGACGCTGTGGTTAGCGCTGTCGAGGGCTCAACTTAGGTCTGTGGAGGTAACAAAAGTGTATGGAGGTCTAAAGGTGACCTGTGGAGGTGTGGATCCGAAAAAAAACATTATAACTTCTATGCTTCGCTTCGAGTTCTCTGGCAAAGCAGGCGAAGACAGCATGCATTATTTATAGTAGTTTTTGTTGCAGTGCTTACTAACTGCAGAGCTTCATCGTGGCGTAAGATTTTGCGTTAGTTTGATCATCAGCTTCCAGTCATCATATTACAAGATGGGCTCCGTTAGGTCCGTCGAGAAGCCTTACACAGGATTGATGTTTATTCACATACATTGCTGTTGCTGTCAAGGCACCTACACTGTTGATCAGGCTACATATAGCAATCCACACAGTTTACATATCTGCCAAACACACTGTCTCACAACATGATGAACACACAGCGAGCAGAACGCTCCCTTAACTGCGCAATAGCTCGTGGACACGTCCATTTGAGCACGCTCTTACACTTGTGTACGTGCGATGACTTAGGTGCAGCAAACGGCACAACTGTGTTGAGCACGTGGATCCAGCTATCCGGATGGTCTGCGTTACTGCTTAGTGGTTTCCCTTTGGGAGTACAAATACCGCCTGGGGTGCAAGCTTCCATAGTTCAACGGTCGGCCAACAACGCATCGGGACAATGGCATGAGCCGAGGCGTCATATCGGGGACCAAGCTCTGGCGGGCTTCCCAATACCGTGCGACGTTCCGATCATGTATATATGACAGTAATTAGTGCGAAATAAATAATCAACATATGCGAACGAAAACCGCCGGTTCACCTGACACGAAACGGTCGGCGGTACGGCAGCAACGCGGTGGTGTTGTAGCCCAACCACAACGGGAATATCATCACGCATGCAAAATCGGTGGAGCCTGTTGGCGACCATTTCATTCGCCTGTTTGAACCCGGGCGAAGCCTTTCCAAACATGAACAACAAAGAACACTGAAGAGTGTTCAGAACAACACGGCGAGCAACGCAACAGCCGTGCGAACCCCTCCGTACTAATCGCCACACGGCAACAGAGCGATTCACGTCAGACCGAGCCGGTGCCCGTCGGATCCGACGCCGACCGATAGGCGCGCGCAGCAGCGAGACACAGCGCACGGAACGGCCGCCGGCCAGCACCTCTCCGCAACGGGGGTCGGTGCGGATCCGGGCCGCGAGAGGGCTCGAGCGCGGGGCGGAGCGCGCCGGCCGCTTCCGTCCGCCACATCCGGCCCAGGTCAGAGGTCAGGCGCCGCCCGCCGCGGGTCGTGACCCCGGGTCGGCTCCGTCACGACGCGCCGGTTCCGAGCCGCCCACGTGCGGCGCCCAGCCACCGCAGTCCCGGAACAAGCCAGCTAGGCGCCGCGCGGTCCTGGATGCCGGGCCGCTGGACATGAGTGCTCGGTTCATCGCTGTTAAAGCACCGCGGGTGTTGATGACCTGTCTTTGAAGCAAGCCTGGCGCGAAGGACGAGTCAGCGGCGCTGACCGGAGGCAGCGGTCTCCCCGTGTCGCGTCCGTGACCCTTGGAGTTGGAGCCACGGCACGGGAGTCGACCACAGCGCACAGCAGATCCACGGGTCCCGTCCCGACACAGTGGAGAGTCCTGATTCTGCGTCATGCCACTCGATAGACGCCGGCGTAGCCTCGGTAATCGGTGGAGTCCCGGTTTGATACCGCCACGTCGGAGTGCGACCAAAGGTGTGATCAGACCGGGCCTCAGGGGACCTGAGCTTGGTCAAACCGGGCCTCACGGGACCTGGGCTTGGTCAGACAGGGCCTCTGGGGACCTGGGCTTGGTCAGACTGGGCCTCGTGGGGACCTGAGCTTGGTCAAACCGGGCCGAGCGAGGTCTGCATCTGGTCAAACCAGGCCAAGCGAGGCCTGCACCTGATCAGACCGGACCTGATAAGGTCTGGATTTGAGCAGACCGGATCTGACGCGGTCTGACTCGAGCAGACCGGACATGGCGCGGCCTGAGGGTCTGCTCAGACCAGACCTGCGCGGCCTGAGGGTCTGCTCAGACCCGATCTAGCGTGGCCTGAGCTCGGTTGGCCGGCGCTTCTTGTCACCATCGGCGCCTGACGTTGAGCTGGGGACGACCTTGATGCGGCTGGGGTCGACCGTGTCGCCACCGCAGCTGAAGAGGGCGCACTCTCGCCGCTCGATGGCCTTCTGCAGCTGCCGCGCCTGGGCCATCAGACCGTCCGGCTCCCCCCGGTCCAGGCTGAAACAGAGACGGCACGGTCGTGAGCGCGGCGTGAGGGAAGAGGCAGCGCGCCAGGAGCAGGGAGCTGCAAACGCGGATGCAGCGCAGGAGTCGTAGACAGTGAACACACCTAAAGCCTGGCAGAAGCCCTGCAAAAGCAAGGTAAGTGCACGACGCTCGACTCGGAATCAGTCCAGGGTGCATTAAATGGTGTCGTTACGCCGGTGATAATCAATCGCCCGTTGCTTGCACAGGGTAGAATGGATGAAACTGATATAGGTGTACAAGCGCGGAGAGAAAACAGAGCTCCGAGCTAGCTGTTTGTGGATAATTCTATTCAGACAGCATCTGTTAAAAAGGGCCTTTGCCACATATTCGGCAAGCCCCAGGAAAACACCAAGATAGAATCAATCTCCTCCGGCAGCGAGGACTGTGGTTCCAGCCTGCAGGGCCACGCTCGCGAACAGTGTCAGAGAAAGCGCCCCTCTCCGGCGGCCGCTGCGGCCATCGGCGGATATCCGTCATCGGGCCATCGGAGCCGCGTGACCCCGGCGTCCGGTGACACGTGTACGCTGCCGGAGAAAGCGCTCCTCCCTCCACATCTCCAGACAGGCGGCACGAGATCGCATCGGCACGAGATCGCATCGCGCGCCTGGCGTCTCCGCACGCTGCCGCGCTGCTCGAAGCACTGGCGTGTGCACTGCCGATCGTCGGATATTCGGGAAAGTTGCCGGCGGTTTGGCATGCCCCGGCAATCACCACACGCCGACCAATCGTGATGCGCGTCTCCCAGCCAGCCGCTGTGCGATGGGCTGGACGGACTCACCAATCGGTCATCCCCGATAGGTTCTGCCGCCGCTCGTTTGGTGGCTGAGTGCCGCGCCAAACGACCGTGGCGGGGTGCCGCGGGCGGCCACGCGCCAGCGGCCGCCGGGGCCGCGGCTCCCACGCTGGATCCGTGATCGACGCCGGCGGCGTGGGCCGGGAGAATCAGTGCACTTGCTAGCACAGTCTGCACGCACTGCGGGCTAGCTAGCTCTCGACACAGATAGCGTCCGAGGAGGCGGCCGGGCACGTCCCAGCCTTCGTGACTCGCCGCAATTAGAAACCTGTCACGATGCGACGCGACGAGAAGATCCCCAACGCAAAAAGATGCGGTGCTGTTAATGTCTTCACGAGTATCCCATGTTCATTTCTTGCCGATGAACCAATCGCTTTTTGCTGTCGCCTTGTCAAGCCGACTCTCTCTTCTCGCGCAGCGCTTGCCGGAAGCACATTTCTATACGCTTTCGCCGGTTTTTCCCCCGTCTTCCTTCGGGTGGCGTGCGCCCGCGCGCTGCCACGCGTGGCGAGATGGGGCCTCATCCGACACTGGACACCGTATCAGCTTCCCTTGGCAGAAGGCGGCTAACCGTGAGGATGGATGCCGGTCAAGCTGATGCGGTGAGGCCTCAGGTGGCAGAATCTGTCCCGTCAGCAGGCAAAAGGCTCGCGGAACACACCATCTACGATGAGGAAGGCAGAGCGCGACGGCCGCTGCACGCTGCGCGGCACAAAAACCTTTCCAACACACCGGCAGTAGTCTTCGTTTACATGCGCCACTGGCGCCACCGGCCGGACCGGCCTGGCGCCGGCAGTGGTCTCCGTTTACATGCGCCGCTGGCGCCGCCGGCCGGACCGGCCTGACACCGGCAGTAGTCTTCGTTTACATGCGCCGCTGGCGCCGCCGACCGGACCGGCCTGACGCCGGCAATGGTCTCCGTTTACATGCGCCGCTGGCGCCGCCGGCCGGACCGGCCTGACACCGGCAGTAGTCTTCGTTTACATGCGCCGCTGGCGCCGCCGACCGGACCGGCCTGACGCCGGCAGTAGTCTTCGTTTACATGCGCCACTGGCGCCGCCGACCGGACCGGCCTGACGCCGGCAGTGGTCTTCGTTTACATTCGCCGCTGGCGCCGCCGACCGGGCTGGCCTGGCGCCGGCAGTGGTCTCCGTTTACATGCGCCGCTGACGCCGCCGGCCGGGCTGGCCTGGCAGTGAGCCGTGTGTGTCCGAGCCGCCGTCGCCTCAGGCCACGCCGGCGGACACGCCGGCTGACCATCAGGGCATGGTGTGGCGTCCCCGGGTCACGCGTGCAGCGCAAACACGACCGTTGCCTTTGTACCGGACGGGCTGGCAACACGACAGATGCGGATGGACGCGCATTGGGAGCGGCTGGAGGCTGCCGGCAGCAGGTCTTTATATTCGATCGTATCGCATACGGCTTCTTCACACACGCTGCCATACGCACCATACCATCATCTACCACACACATCATACTATCATGCATATCATGCGTATTGTACTATCATACGTGCCAACGTATTGCCGTCCTATCAAATGTCACCAAATCATTCAGAATGATAAAATGAACAGAGTTCCCTCGATGTCATGAACGACGAGTCTTGGACACATTCACAAGCAATGGAATGCCATCAAGCGATATCAGACCTCTTCAGATGGATTGACTGACTGAATCCAAGCGTTATCACACGTCATCACATGCCACAAATCCCGGAGACACCAAACGTCTCAAAAGAGTGGGAGTGACTGCCTGGGCCAGGATATCTTCAGGAATACGGGGCAGATCACTGGGCTGGGTTGCGACACGCGGTAGCAGCGGGGCCGGCAGTGAAAACAGGGCGCTATTGGGCCATATCGCCAGACAGATCCGGGTTTAGAAACTGCCACCGGCCTCGATAGAGTCGTACCGATCGCACCAGAATACCCGCTATGCTGGCACATAGACAACATTTCGAGTGGGATGGAAGGCGAGCTCCAGTCTCCTACAGAATGCACACGAATGGACCCGCACGATGACGGATATTTAGGGTGTGTTCGCAGCGACGCAGACGACAACGAATCTATGCTGTCGAGGTTATTCATGACATACACCCTGGATTCCACGCGTTTTGGTGTTCGCAGAGACCCGACGAAAACGATTTTATGTGACGTCACACAGAATCTTTACCGGCCGTGCAGAATCTTTTCCACGTCTTGGTCGAAGTGGGACAGAAGCGGCGCAACAAATTCAACAATAAACAAGCCGCTGCGTGCCCATGCCCAACCTCAGGAGATGAAAAAATGTTTTGAACACTGCAAACTGCATAATCTGCATCTGTCATTGTTAGGAGCACGTAGAGTACCTGCAACCGAAAATCTTAGTGTCTTTGAATGCACAATTAATGCCACGACAGTTACGAGCATGCAAAACAAAAAAGCGTCACGCTGCGAACACGCCCTGCAACGACTTCACGTGACGTCACATGCAGTCGAACATTCTTGGTGCGCTTCGGCAAACCCACAGTACGTGATCTGTTGAGAGGACTCTGAAAGAGATGTCCATTCACTGCCGGCTGCGCAGCCCGCGTTCAGTGGTCGGGGAAGGGAGAGGGCCGCGGGAGAGGGCTGCGGGAAAGGGCTGGGGGAGAGGGCTAGCTATGTCCGGCCTCTTTCCCCACCCCGGTCGGCCCTCAGGAATTCTTCACGGCTCCTGTCACTGTCAGGAGCCGGAGCCGGAGCCGGAGCCGGAGCTGGAGCCGGTGGCGACATCGGTTACACTCTTACGCGATATCTATAGGTCTGCGAAAGCGGCGTTCAGAAAACGTGGCTTCCAGCTAATGATGTAGCGGGTGACTGAAGTGACAACGTTTTGGAGCTGTAATTCGCAGTGAAAGCACGTGATGACTATCTTTAGGAAGCGCTAGTTTGAGAACTAATGGTGCATGAGCTAGATGAATGGTAGTAGCTGTGTAGCGATACCTGACCCTCATCCCCCTGTGCTCTCTCCTGACCGTTTCCACATCTTTCCACTCCGCCTTTATATCGCCTTTTCGTGTCAGGCTAAATGCATGCGGGGAACGTGACGACAGGACTTTCTTAAATGTGTCACACTTCCAGGATGAGCGCCGTCCTATCGAGATGACTCGCGCGACACACTGAGGGAGAGTGTGTCACGCGCTCTGATACAGTTTCGAAACCATGTAATGTCCAGTGGACCGGCACACGAACCGGCTGCTACGTATTCCTATAATCCCGGAAAGCCCGTGCTGGAATGCCACCTCAATTACCGACCGAATCGGTGCGCCCATTCTCGCCTGAGGGCGTTGATTGCGTTGCCTGTGCATTAGTTCTCGACAGCAAGGCAGACAAATGAGCTTATTCGAGAATTTGATGACCGCACTTCCTGACACAGACAGGAAGACACTGACAGCGGCTGTCATAGACACTGAAGACACTGACAGCGGCTGTCATGCGTCTTTGCAGCGGCACCCCAGAACCGCACAAACAGAGCCGAATGGAACGCGCCAGTCCAGCCAAAGTGCGTGTGCGGGACTGCCAATCGATTTTACGTGACAGTCATCGTGCCTGTGTACTGAAGCCCTCCTCGCAGGCCTGGTCTGACCTTCCAACTGGCCCTTCCGGCATCACCTACAGCGCTGCCTGAGCGAGAACGCCAACCCGCGCTGCTTCCCACACACCTCGCTTGACGGAACCACTCTCACCACATCGTCAACCTCGCAACGGCGCCGACGACATGGCGTGCCGACCAGACCCCGGCTTCCGGTCGGACCCCTGAACGACGTTGTGACGTCACGGGGGGCATGAGTCAGCTGACGACGCAACCGGCGCGTGTGCCAACCGGCGCATCCGGCGTCAGCGGCACGGAACAGAGCGGGCCGTGCCGCCCAGCCGAGAGGGAAAGTGCGGGCAGGTGGCGCGCGCCGTTTTGGCCGCGCGGGGACGGCGCCAGGGCGCCCCCGGTAGCGGGAGAAAGTGCGCCCGGGCCGCGGGCGCCGTGTTGACGCCGCGGGATGGGTGCGGTGTGCTGCGGGAGACGGGGGACTGCGATAGCATCGCGGGACGATTGGCGGCGGCGTCAACAGCGCCGCCGGATCGGCGACCCCGCCCGATGAGAGCACGGGTTTTCGGTGTTTTTTCGAATATGAACAATGGCGAACGTCTGGCCGGCTGGCGTTTGTGATGCTGCCGCGGACTCAAGCGCCGAGAGACCGGCAACAGACCGCTGTTGATAGCCGCCGGCTATGGAGCAGTCCGTGGATTGAGCGTTCATCACGTCCAGCGTCGGAGACCCGGTCCGCGCCGCAGCCGACGGGCGCACCCGGCCTCCTCACGACCCGACCGGGGGTGGGCGCAGAGGGTGGTTTCGCTTTCGAGGGCGTGTCGGCGCTTGGAGTGCTATCCGCCCATCCTCATTTTGGTTGGACACAAAGAGCCATTGTCTGCACGAATGTACGTGCGGCGTAGCTTGACAAACTGTTGCAACTCTCTTCGAATGGCTCCTGCACACACCCGGCACACTTAGCGCGGGCTTTGGGATATTATTGAAATAAGTATTTGTTTGTTGTGTCACATGTGCTCCTGGATGTTTTTCCCTCCAAGCAAGCGTCAATGGTACTGGGGCACAGTCAGTCATGCCTTGTGTAGTGAGTGCTGAACAAAGTCACGTAGTGAGGTGCCCAGGTACACGTGCAGCCTAACAAGATCCGGGCCCTGCAGGTGTTTTCTCACATCTAATGAGCTACTTTTTCGTGCCAATTTTAAAACCATACAATACAAGCTGCGCCAAAGAACTCTCCTTATTCAGGTCACACACGGTTAGCAGGGCTAAGCTGGGGAATATGTAAGGCTGCTCTCCGTCCAGAGTCTACATTTCTTGAGAGTTCCATTTCTTTGAGTCTTGAGAGTTTCTCCTTCATTTCTTGAGAGTTTATTTTTTTCTTCATTTTTCATTTCTTCTTTTCTTGAGATCCCTTACTCGAGTTAGTGGGAGCCTTTTGACTAGATGCATTCCTTGGACCAGTGCCCAGTTCAGCGGTACTTGCTACATGAGTACTGACCCAACCGTCTGTCCGTAAAATACTGTGTCAAAGGCATAGTTTTTCGGCGAAAGTTTAACGTTCCGCAATGTTCGGCACGGTCCCTCCTGCCATTTGACGTCGCCTGAGCTTTTGCGCGGCCGCTGCCACCACCGCAGACCACCTTGGTCAGGGGTAAGTGGCAGTCAGGAGAGTCGAACCCACCCTGCCACGGGAAGGTGATAAGAAATACAGACACTCTAACCAACTGGGCCATTGTGACGGAAAGCGCCTAGCAGGGTTGGTGGGACATCGCAGAATTACTTGTTCGTGCCAAGCGCTCTTAAGCTGGCTCCCATCCGTACCGGGTTGCCGAAAATGCGACAGGCCTTTTTGTGGACACGCTGTTCGATGCATGAGTTTTTGACGAGAGACCAGAAGGGACACATTCTATCATCGGGCTGACAGGTTCTGACAAAGGTCGGGCAGAATTACATCTGTCGATTAGTGATGCTGTATCCTAAGCCATTTTCTGAATAATGGCAAGTTTAAGTCATATTTATCGTAAATCTTCTGGAATAATCGTCTACCTCCTGAGCCTTGATTTTGAGTTAATCGAACATGAGCAAGCGCATGCTTCCTAAACACAATTACATCTTGTTTGGTAAATAAGACCCGGCGATTTTCAGAGGCTAACTTGACTGATGTTGTGCCAATGCTCTCCTATTATCGGATTCCCCAGCCCGGCAATCGCACCAAACTCCCACAGCTGTGACAGAGCGTTCAAGTCGATGAAGATTGAGTGGTGCTGCTGGGGGAGCAGAACATCGCTCCGCAATCAACACATATTGGACATCATACAAGAATGGCACCGGCCCAGTCGGAACCGAGCAACTTACTATGAGAGGAAGGTGGTGACCTTGCTGCCGACGCTCCTGACGGTGCCGCTGTCCTGGCGCGTCATGAAGTCGCAGAAGATGCGCTTCGCACACGGGCCGCGGCTCCACTGGTGGAAGCCCTCGCGCCGCAGCGCGCCGAGGAAGTCAGCCTGCACCTCGTCCAGGCCGTCCACCAGGTTCGTCAGCAGCGACTCGTCCTCGTCGCCGAGCGAGCGCCGCCGCCGACCGATGATGTAGTGCGTGTTGTTGGTCACCGTGTTGGCGTACACGAGGAAGCTGAGGCCGGCCAGCGCGCCGGCGCCGGCCACGAGGCCGCCGACGAGCAGCGCCTCGCCGCCGCCACCCTGCTTGTCGGTCGGCTGGTCGGTGGGGTAGGGCGCCGTCAGGCCCAGCTCCTCGGTCAGCCGGTCCGTCGCGTCCCGGAACGGCTGCGTCACCGGCTTCGTGAACTCGATGACGTTCTCGCCCAGTTTGCGGATCGGGTCCGTGAGGGTGTCGTACAGCGTCGGCTTGCGGAAGCCGTTCTGGTCATACTCGGCGCCGTACGGGTCGTATTGGTCGTACTGCTGGCCCGAGGCGTAGTAGGTGGACGGCGCGCCGGTCAGCTGCTGCTGCTGCTGGCTGAAGCGGTCCTTGGACGGCCGCTTCGAGCCGCCGAACAGGCCGCTGAGGAAGGACAAGCGACGGCTCGGCTTGCGCGACGGCTTGGTCTTCTGGCCGTTGGGGATCGGCACGGGGATGTTGACTATCGGCCCGCCGGGCACCGACTGGAACGCCATCTGCTTGATCTTGAACTGATCGGGGCTGACCGGGCGGCCGGAGAACGGGTCGACCGAGTTCTGGAACTTGGTGGCCGCCTCGGGCAGCTGGTACGAGCCCGGCGAGAGGATCTGGCCGGCCGGCTTCTCCTTGCTGCCCTCGGTCGGGAAGCGGAATCCGCCAGAGGAAGCCGGCGCTGGCACCGTCTGGAACCGGTGCTCGAACTGGGACTGCGCGCCCGGCCGCTGCGGCGCCGTCGGCCGCTGGCGTGTCGGCGCGGCCTGCTGCCCGACCGACGCCGGATACGCCGCGACCGTCGGCCGCGACACGGGCGCCTTGTAGGAGGAGACGGGCGCCTGCAGGCCGCTCTGCGCGTGGAACTTGCTGCCCGCCGCCGCCGCCGCCGCCGGCGCGCTGTAGCTGTACTGCAGCTTGTTCTCAGGCGTGTAGGTGTACTGCAGCTGCGTCTCGGGTCGCCTCAGCGTCTGGTCGCTACCCACCGGCCGGTTGAAGCTGTGGTCGAGGTAGGCGTGGTACACAGGCGCAGAGGTGGTCAGGGTCGCCGCCGCGTGCGGCGTGGTCGGCTCGTAGGCGACCGCTGGGTGGGAGCCGCCGTCGGCGGCCGGCTCCTCGGCGAGGATTGGTTGCCGAGAGGGCCGGATTGAGGGCCCCTGCACCACCTTGAAGGCCTGGCTGTGCACCGACTGCTGCGCAGGGTACTGGAAGCGCCCGGCGCCAGGCCGCTCGGTCTTCCGCTCCGTCTTCCGCTCCGTCTTCCGCTCAGGGTCGTAGTACGATTGATAGTAGAACGGCGGCAGCGTGCTCGACGTGCTCGGGCGCTGAAAGCCAAACGCCGGCCCGCTGCCGTAGCTCAGGATGCGCCCGCTGCGTGTGTCCGACGCGGCCGTCGGCTCCGCCGGCGCCGTTGGCTCCTGCTCCGTCGGCGCCGGTGGCTCCGGCTCCGTCGCCGCAGCCTGCCGCAGCGACTCGGCGCGCGCCGGCAGCGGCGGCGGCGGCGAGCCCCCGCCCGGGAAGAGCTTGTTGTCGATGACGCGCGCGTTGCGCCAGACGGGGGCGTTGCGCTCGGCCTCGGTCTCGTGCACGCGCACGCCGTACACCACCGGGATGCCGTCGCCGCCGACGACGGTGATGCCGGTGCTCGCGTCGCCCGACAGCAGCCGGTCGGTGCGCCCGCCGCCCTTTACGTAGGAAGAGTGCGACGACACGACCACCTCGGCCGGCACCGGGGGCTGCTCGGCGGCGGCGGTGGCCGCGGCGGCGGCGGCGGCGGCGGCAGTGGTGGCGGTGGCCAGCAGGGTGGCGCAGCAGAGCGCAAGCATCCGCCGCGGTGTCATCTTGACCCGACCGCCTGTGTAGGAAGAGGACGCAGGTCAGACAGGCAGTCACAGATTAGTCAGTGTCACTGTATCCGTCTCATTGGCCAGCTTCATTACTGTGCTGCTCCTTAACAGCGCCACAGTAGCTCAACAGTCACTAAATAGCGTCTAAGCGACCGCTGGTGGTATTTAAAACGCCAAAGATGGTGATGCCATATTCCTTCCGGGAGGGCAGTGGCCACCCAGTGGGCGTAGCCAAACCCCCACCGGCGTCCGGCAGACTTCTGACCAGCCGAGTTTCGGTGATTAATCAGCACGCTGACCCACAACCACGCACGCCCCAAGGAGTTAGGCCAATTACAGAGCGTTTCTGGTGTTCCATCCATTTTTCATGCGCCGCGCGCCGGCCCCAGGCCCGTTTTCGGGCGTACCGGGCAGCTGCGCTTCGCCTTCTGACCGCGGCCACGGTTATGAAGCTGCTCGCCCACGTGAAAATGAACGCTGCATGGCTTCGAGGAACGTGTTGAAGAGAGAAGGTCGTTTCCATAGCGTGACTTGGTGCAGACCGTCGCGTCTGTTGCGAGACTGCCGGAAAACCCGGTAGAACGCGCCAGGGTAGCAACGGTTGTCAGCTTTCCTACTCCTGGGAGAATGCCGTTCCACTTAACCACGGTGGTGCTGCCCGCTGATCCATCTAGAACTGTCAAGCCCTGCCCCCTTTCGCCGCGAGAGCATCCGGGAACGGTCCCCTTCGTTTGGATCTGACAGCGACATTATCCGTTCGGGTGTCTTTCTGTTGGGTCTGATTCCATACCCACATCCATCAAGACGATTCGTAAATATATAGGGTCGTTCGTTGGCCGTACTACAAACGCCGGGCATGCTCAAAACGCCCACATGCATTGATCTGTGTCGCTGACTATCCGTGACACTTCACATGACACGTGACACGTGTCACGTGTCACACGTTTACACGTCACGTGACACGTCACATCGTTTATGACCGTGTGCTACGACCTACGACCGCCGTCAGCGGCCGGTCACCACCTGTGAACCCTCTAAGCGTCCCAAGGCCATCCAGGACTGTCGGGCAAGGTCCGAAGCAGCCTGGTTTGGTCCGGCGGCGTCTGGGAGCTGCCGGGACCGGCCGGGACCGGCCGGGACCGGACCGGCGCCCGGCGGTCCTTCGCCGGGCTCGTCGCGTCCGGGACAGCCGCCAGATCGGGCCATGGCCCGATTCCGTTCGTGTCCAGCCGCCGAGAGGGCCATGAAATGGAGACGCGCCCGACCGGACAGGTGGTGATTGGGGCCAGCACGGCGCCGGCCGAGATGACGCTACGATGGCCACCGGACGCCGCGCCGTTCTCGCCGCCAGCGCGGACGGGGCCTGCTCGGTAGACGAGCGCGTGGACGCCGGCCGCGTGGCCCACCCCGCCGCCGTGCCAGGTCGACGGATGACGCAAGGGTGGACGGAGGGCACTGGTGCCGCTGGAGGAGATCGCTCAGGGAGCGCTGCTCCTGGTGTTCGTTACGACGCTGCCACCTGAAGGGACAGCTAATGTAGGGAGGAGGCCGTTCTTTCCCACTCTGGCTTAGTCAGTTTGTAGGGCATTCTAGGAAGCTTTGCGAGGGTGGGATGTGGTTGGATGAACGTTGTCTACATTTTTTTTCTCGCTTCAAAGCGACGATGCACGTGTCGTTGATATAATATCTACTTTGAGCTCAGACAATCAGCAGCTGTTGAATCAATAGTACATTAAGTTACTGTCTTGGTCTCATTGGAACATTACCACATTACGACCAGCTGACGCCTGACCACCAATGAGAGGACCGTGATGTTCTGATTCATGTCACTACAAAGGCATTTTCTATTAATAACTTAATTACCCCAGGCATCTGGAGCATCGCGTATTTAGAGTCAAGGTAAGCGCGCTCTAGCCCCAGCCGTGACAAAAGCGCCGTCTGTGTTTCACGATTACTTTCGCGACGAACACTAACCCACATCTGCCACTCGGCGGGCGCGGGCCGGAATTTTCCCATTCTCCCTGCTGCTCCCAGTGAAGCCTGGTAATGGCGAGCGTTCAAGGATGTCGCCGACTAAGTGGCGTGGGACTGGCGAGATGCGACCCAGAACCCAGCCACTATCGACGGCGGTGATCTGGTGTCGGCCGCCTCCGCTGCTCGCCGCCCGGCGGTCGCTCCAGTTCACCGCCCGCCACCGCCGCTCGGTGTCATCAGCCAACGGCGTCATTCACACGCCAGATGACAGAGCGGTGACGCGCGCGCTGCCGGAGATCAGCCGATCCATCTCGGCCGGCGACAAATGTGACGCGGCGGCGCCACCTTTCGGCGCGCGTGCAATTGGCCGGCGATAGCGCTCGGTCACAGCGCGAGATCCGGGCCGACCAGAGCGATCGCCCATCGGTGTCATCTTCTCACAGGTGGCGCTACCCCACTTCTGGGGCGCCGGGCGCCGACATCTCGGCCAGCGCCGGCCGGCGATTCGGTGTGGGCTCCGGGGTCTGGACTATTTGTATAATTAGTTGTTCTGGTGTGGCTGCTTTCTGAATGTGGCAGTGCCTTGAAACTGAATGGACGGTTCTTCGTATCCGCGCACGTAGTGGTGCGGTTCTCAAGTCTGATCTATAATACACGTGTGTATGCTGAAACCTATGTCATGTGGCCGTTTTTCATTATTCAAACATCGTATAGGAGTGTGGGATGCTTTGGCAACATAAAAACAAAGTCCGCAGCAAATTTCTACATCATTGACTTGCCGGCAGGTCGATTTTTATAAGCTAGCTAGGCAAATGGGCGCATGCTTTCCCTATTATTAGCTGGTCTCTTAATGAGTTTGAGCTAAAAGACAAGATCCAGATGGTAGATGGGTGCGTAATGATTGCGACGACGCCTAGCTGAGCTGTTCAAGACAGCCATTTATTTTTCTCATGGCAGGTGTCTTGTTCGGAATGAATGAACAGCCCTCTACTAGAAATCGATAGTTAAGACCAGATCGTCACAACATCATTAAATGCGACTGAAAACTTGGCATGAAAGGAAATACATTTTTGCATACAATCCACCACCTCACCGACTTTTTCAACATGTGAGAGATCATCCATCTATCGTAAGTCACTAGACGCATCTGTGGACATGGTATCAGGTAAACGAGGTTGACGCCGCATATCCATTGCCCTCAAAACGACAGCTGACCATCGCACTGTTGGGCGTCATTAGTATCGGCCAAGCAACACCTTGCACGAACACGTTCACATTTCATATAGACGCTATAGACGCTTTGCACTAGATCGCTGGCCACTCCTGAGCTTTGAGGTCAAGCACAGCTGGGGGAACGACTCCAGGACACAACGCTCAGACGACTAGCGCTCCAGAACCTTAAAACCTGAATCATCTTTAAACAACTGAAATATTGCCACTTCGTGGATCTCCTACCTTAACGCTGCGGACTGCCGTAATGAATGTATCATTTGTTTTCTACAAGACCGGGCCGAGATCAGAAACGCGCAGTATTGTTACAACATAAAACATCTTATTAAGAGGATGCCAAGCAAATAAGGATAGTTGTCAGCGGCTGTACGGCTATTCAACCAAATAATTTGTTTTGCGTTACACACAATCTTTTCAACCTCTTTAAATTCATGCTGTTGAGGCCTGGGATGTCATAGTATCTACATCACTCAGCAATGCAATGTTTTCGAAAGTGCTTTGTGCGAATATTTGTTCTGCTGTCCCTATGCTGGTCGCGATTTACAGATATGTCCTGACGCTCCCTGGGCGCGCCTCCGTGCGCTGCCGGCACCCTGGCAGCACCGAAGAGAGGCCTGCTGGGGCCTGTCCGGGCCTTTCCAGCACAGGTCAGTTGATGCAGGTCAGCCGCAGTCAGAATTCACGGCGGATAAACAGGAAGCACGAGGCGTGCTCGTTTTGCCTCTTTTAAAATTGTATCGTAAGCTGTGTTTGTGCAGGACTTTGAAAGCTTCCGCATTTCCTTTCCGCACAATTGACAGGTCACGTTGTGAGATTAATTAAACAAAGTCGCTGGTGAGTCGGCACCACATACCAGATCACGTTGCCTGTCGGGGCTCATTTCTCATATTCAGCTACTTCGAGGGGACAAAAAGGTAATCTTGTCTCTCAAGCTATCTCAGTTGTCCGGACTTCGCGGAGTAGAGAGTTCGGACTTCGGGAGCCTCTGGTAGGTGAGGAAGAGAGAGAGAGAGAGAGAGAGAGAGAGAGAGAGAGAGAGAGAGAGAGAGAGAGAGAGAGAGAGAGAGAGAGAGAGAGAGAGAGAGAGAGAGAGAGAGAGAGAGAGAGAGAGAGAGAGAGGAGAGAGAGAGAGAGAGAGAGAGAGAGAGAGAGAGAGAGAGAGAGAGAGAGAGAGAGAGAGAGAGAGAGAGAGAGAGAGAGAGAGAGAGAGAGAGAGAGAGAGAGAGAGAGAGAGAGAGAGAGAGAGAGAGAGAGAGAGAGAGAGAGAGAGAGAGAGAGAGAGAGAGAGAGAGAGAGAGAGAGAGAGAGAGAGAGAGAGAGAGAGAGAGAGAGAGAGAGAGGAGAGAGAGAGAGAGAGAGAGAGGAGAGAGAGAGAGAGAGAGAGAGAGAGAGAGAGAGCGTGCATCTAAGCGAGACATCTGCCGTACCCAGACAGGGATACTTTCTTGTTCGCCGCCGAATTCGTGGTTATTGTTTTGTGTGTCGTCGTCGCCGTCCACGGTCGCCGCGCTATCGATCATCCACTCGCGTATCGCTGGAATGAGACATTCACCGCATGGAGCCAGCAGCTGTCAACACGCAGTGCCGATTTCACAGGAGAAAGGGTATGTGCACATGCTGTGGAAAGTTCTCCGGGAACCACGTTACACTCTGGCCGGGTCACTGAGGTGTACAACAATGTTCCAGGCATCGTGAGTGAGGTGAAAGCTGTTTTGCTTAGCCATTGGTAGGCATTGTTCATCAGCTTGAAATTGAGAGAACCTGGGAGCCTGCATGCGAAGATGGCTGGAGAGCGCGCCGTGCGTAACGGGCTACCTACTCAATGTACCTTAAGGTGAATCATGTCAGGAGGAGCTAGGTCTTCGAACATCCGCATAGAACAAGCCGGTGGCATTGCTCCATCAGAGCACTGACGTCCGCACTTACGACGGGTGGTCAGTGAATGCGTGGGAACCACACAAGGCGCCGAACGCGGCCTTGCGCGCCGGAAAACTAGCTCACAATGGAATGTAGCCCGTTCTCACGACAGCTTCCGAGGAGTCCGGGTCGCAGCATAGCCACACACCGGAACAGGATGTGAGGTCCTTGCCACACAGCGGACGTAGGCGCCAGCGCGTGTTGCCCAGCTGACTTCCATCACCACAGCGAAACTAAAGGGAAGCACATCTTGCAGCAGGACCCGAAACATAAACAATACCTGCGACAGGAGAATAGCAGACCGAGCTTAAACACACCCCGCCCACGAGCCGAATCTAGACCACATCCCGGTACATGACCGGGGAGCGGCGGCACTCCCTGGTGCCCGACCGGGGTGCGGCGCGGGCTCGCGCGGCGCGCCGGAACAGGAGCGCCGCCGGCGAGGGGAGAGGCCGGCCCGCGCCGCGCTGACTATTCATCGGAGGCGGCGCGCCGTCGGGGGCTGCGGTAATGAGATGTGCGCCGGCCGCGCCGCCAAGTAGGTGGTGCTAGCCGCCGCCGGCCGCCGAACGGCTGCGCTCGGCTTTCTCCCGGACGGCGGTCGCACGCGCCGCGCCCGGGGGCGCGCGCGCCGCCGGTGACCGCCGCCGCGCTCGTCGGCCGAGGGCGGGCAGTCCGC